ATCTCGGCATCGAACTTTTTAAGGGGGTCGTTTGGGGAGAAGTAGCAGCTGTAGATACGAACACCCGCCACCTCTACCCAAACAAAGCCCTTATCTGTCTCCAGGAAATCACCAATAACGATGTCCGGGTTACACACTTGTATTCCGGACCTTCCCGATGCGTCCTGGAACCAGACAGAGAATTCTGGCTTTCTACACTGCTCACTGAAGATCAGTATATCAGCCTTCCTCTGTCTAGCAGTCTGCATCAGAAGGTCCAGCGCGGCTCTTCCTTTTCCGAGGTTAACCTGAAGTACCCCGAATTTTAGATTTTAACTCTGACAGGATTCCCCAATAAACTGGGCAAGCCCTGCTTCCTGGAAGGTGGTTTACTTCCTTCGACCCCTTGTCGGAGCAAGTCATGCAACGAGCAGAACCCTTACACGACTTGCTTTTGTGGTCCAAACCACCACACTTCCAACAAGCGTTTCTTCTGTCTGGGCCACTGCAGCCTCGTGCCAGGTGTCCGTAACAGAGGCATTTAAAGCATCTGTCCACTTCAACTCTGGCCCGGACTCTGCAGTTCACCCAGCCGATCTTAATACGACCGGTCTTAAGCAGCAATTCCGCGTCCAAGTCTGGCAGACGCAGAATCGCCATCTGCGTACCTCCATATCGTCGGACTAGTTGGCAGGGCACGTCCAACTCGGGCTTGCCCAGAAGACCCCGTACGGCCTCCAACACCTTTGCGACGACTACAGTCTCGTCGAGGTCTACAATTTCTATCGACCTCGTCGAGACGGCAGTCGCGACATCCGCTTTTCCTGTTAGGGCAGTGGTCAGCGCACTGCTGAAACTAGTGAGATCCTGTCCCTTCTTGAGTACCAGGAGGATCTCCTGCTTCCTGGATCTACGAACAGACAGGATCTCGACTTTATTTTCCTCAGGGCTGACCCTTTTAAACATGTAGTCTAAGATCTCCTCCGTTTTCTCACCTTCTCTTGCGCTTATTTTTATCGCGTCTGTCCCCCTTTTCTTTTTCTTACGCGGGGATTTTTTTATTTCCCCTGTTGGGTCATCCCCAGTCTTTTTTTCTCCTTTTTTCTTTTTCTTCTTTTTGCCCTTCTTACTCTTCACCTCCTCCCAGGGCTCATCAACTTGAGTGGATGGTCCGGCCTCCTCAGCAGAAACTTCTACATTATTCGGCCGAGGAGACGCGGACACCTTTCCCTTTTTGGACTGCCTGTTCTTGGGCGTAGTTGAGGCCCCCCTCTTCTTACTTTCAGAAGTGGGAGTCCTACTAGGATTTTCCCCTAACCTTTTATTTTGTCGTCTTGCAACGAGCTGTGAGGGGTTGGACTATTATTATTATTATTATTATTATTATTATTATTATTATTATTATTATTATTATTATTATTATTATTATTATTATTATTATTATTATTATTATTATTATTATTATTATTATTATTATTATTATTATTATTATTATTATTAGTATTATTATTATTATTATTATTATTATTATTATTATTATTATTATTATTATTATTATTATTATTATTATTATTATTATTATTATTATTATTATTATTATTATTATTATTATTATTATTATTATTATTATTATTATTATTATTATTATTATTATTATTATTATTATTATTATTTTTTTTTGTTTTACGAAGGAAGTTGGAAATCTGTTCATCAGATCCCTCGTGGCCCGGACCACGAGTTTTGCAGGGTTGAACATTGAGCCGCATGTAGCATAGGCTAAACTAAGTTTAGCTTAGGCTCTATCGACCTACTAAAACCAACTCCCTATTTCCAGGACTCTATTTCCACTTGCGGAACTACCTAATGGCTTTACTTCGCAAGTGGAAGTCCTCTCTCTTACTCCTCTCTGTCCATTGTTAAAAAACAATCTTTCCATTAACCACCGGGGGGGAGTCGCGGGAGTGGGAGGAGGAACGAGAATTAGTTCCTCCTCCCCCTCCCGCGAATCGTCCCCAGTGATTACTCCAGGTTAACCTCTTCTTCCGTCCACATCTTTTGTCTTCATTACCGAGGTAATAAAGAACTCGATGTGGCGCCAAGAGTCCGCGCTTTGGAGCATAGTTGAGACCATGTCATCAGCGGTGAATTGAGTTTTCACCGCGTCAAACATGGCCCGTCTTAGCTCACTCCATTGCCCGCAGGAGAAGAGAGTGTGTTCGGCGTCGTCTATTTCAGCGCCGCAATACACACATTTCGCCTCTTTTCTGATCTTAAATCTATGAAGGTACTGACCGAAGCAGCCGTGACCAGTCATCGCCTGCGTAAGGTAATAGCCAACCTCGCCGTGCTTTCTTTCTAACCAGGTGGCGAGGTGGGGAATCAGGCGGTATGTCCACCTTCCTTTGGATTCCCCATCCCATCTTGCCTGCCAACTATCGACTAGTCTGATTCTTGCCGATTTGCGGATAGCCATCTTTAGGTTACCGCCGCTCTGTTGTTCCTGCGAGACAACTCGTTCTTTATTGAGCCGAAAGACTTCCTGTCTTTCTTTTGCCAACAAATCTGTTGGCGGTGTACTCGCAAGAACTAGAGCAGCGCAATCAGACACCGTCCTGTAGGCTGAGATTACTCTCCGTGCGCTCCCTGTCTGCACAGAGAGCAATCTGTCCAAGATGGCGTGGGTCTTAAGGGCATCAGCCCATACAGGGGCAGCATAAAGCTGCTTTGCTAGACCCACGGTCGCCACCAAGCGCCGCTTCTTTTCCCTGGGACCACCAATGTTGGGCATTAACCTAGATAGTTTACCCATACATTCGGCGGCCTTGAGTGCTGTGATGTTCACGTGAGGACCGAAGCTTAACCTTCGGTCCAACGTCACTCCCAGGTACTTAAGTTGATTTCCCCATGAGACTTCAGTTCCACCTATTTTCACCTTTGGGGCTTCAAAAACTCGCCGGACTGTAACAAGCAGAGCCTCGGTCTTCTCTAAGGCCATTTGCAGGCCATGACGAGACAACCAACGCTCTACTCGCCGCAGTCCTTCATCGAGTTTTATCTCGAGGAATTTGGTTTCCTGCGCTCTACACACCAGAAGTACATCATCCGCAAAGGCTTTCAGGATCGTGTCTTCGGGCAGCTCCATTCTCAGGAGATCGTCGTACATGACGTTCCATATGAATGGACCCACCTTAGACCCCTGTGGTGCCCCGCAGGTCATCTCTTCCTTGAGATGGAACACATTGCCTTCGTACACGACCCATCTGTCACTGAGATAGTTGTCTATCATTCGCAACAGATAAGTCGGCACTCCTTTGCGTCTCATTGACTCAATGCAGATGTCCCATCTCGCGGAATTGAACGCATTCCGGATGTCGATGGAAACAAGAGCACAGAAACCCTTCCTCTTCCCCTGATTGACTTCCTTTGCCAGTTTTACAACAGAGAGTATTGCATCAACTGTTGACCGGCCTTTCCGAAAGCCAAACTGGTTCTCTGATAGGCTATTTTCGCCTACCAGGATTCCCTGAAGTCTTTCTAGAACCATCCCCTCTAGAAGTTTGCCCATCGTGTCCAATAAACAAATTGGTCTGAACGATGAGACTTTATCCAGAGGTTTATCGCCTTTCCTAAGGAGAACCAACTTTTGCACTTTCCAGTCACTGAGGAACTCTCCGGCTTTTAAACACGCATTAAAGACGTTGAGAAGCAACTCTGGGTATACCGCGACGACCTCTTTTAGGATCTCGCTTGGTATTCCATCCCTGCCTGGCGCCTTGCCATTTTTCAACGCCCTTGCCGCCTTTTTTAGTTCTTCAAGCGTGAAAAGCTCCTCCATCTGTACTACGCAAGTATAGTCCTCCCTGGGGCTCGGTTCCACATGGGGAAACAGCGCTCTTATGATTTTTTGGACCCAAATCGGATTGCCTAGACCCGGGGTTTTTTGTCTTGAAACTAATTTCTTAGTAACAATTTTAAACGCCAAACCCCATGGATCATTCTCGGTCTTCCCGATTAGGTCCTTCCAGCACTTTCGTTGGCTACTCCTTATAGCCCGCTTGAAGATTCGCCTGGCTTTATGCCAATCTTCTTGCAGCGTGAGGTCTCCCTTCGAGTGGGTATATTTCCTCCTCGCTGCATTGCATTCTCTCCTTAAGCGGGCTAATTCATCGCTTCACCAGTACAGAGCACCCTTCCTAGCTTTTGTTTGGCGCCGGCGAGGCATGGAGCAGTTGCAAGCATCCGCTATAATCTGCCTCGCCTCTCGCGCTATACCCTTTGCAGAAGTTGGCTCCTTTTGCCAGCTGGACCTCTTGATGAGGCGAGCTTCGGCCAGGGACTTTACCAACTTCTCCCTATCAAGTCTCCTAAGGTTCCAGGAGGGTTTCTTTTTGTCCTTTTGTGGGCAATTGTACCCTCCCATATTCTCCTCGGAGACTGAAAACTCAATGTATTGGTGGTCGCTCATGGTCACCTGATCCAATACCTTCCAATTTCTGATTCTACGGGCCAGGTGGGGAGTTGCAAATGTCAGGTCAAGAATTGACCCTGACGCTCCCCGCCTAAAAGTGAGCTCTTTTCCCCGGTTCATCACCACCAGGTCATTCGCAGAGACCATATCGGTGACCAAGATTCCCCTTCTGTCCTGACGGGTCTCTCCCCACTCGGGGGACTTACTATTGAAATCCCCCGCAATGAGGACATCCCCGTCGAAAGCTCTTATGCTTTCTTCAAGAGAGCGAATCTCGGCATCGAACTTTTTAAGGGGGTCGTTTGGGGAGAAGTAGCAGCTGTAGATACGAACACCCGCCACCTCTACCCAAACAAAGCCCTTATCTGTCTCCAGGAAATCACCAATAACGATGTCCGGGTTACACACTTGTATTCCGGACCTTCCCGATGCGTCCTGGAACCAGACAGAGAATTCTGGCTTTCTACACTGCTCACTGAAGATCAGTATATCAGCCTTCCTCTGTCTAGCAGTCTGCATCAGAAGGTCCAGCGCGGCTCTTCCTTTTCCGAGGTTAACCTGAAGTACCCCGAATTTTAGATTTTAACTCTGACAGGATTCCCCAATAAACTGGGCAAGCCCTGCTTCCTGGAAGGTGGTTTACTTCCTTCGACCCCTTGTCGGAGCAAGTCATGCAACGAGCAGAACCCTTACACGACTTGCTTTTGTGGTCCAAACCACCACACTTCCAACAAGCGTTTCTTCTGTCTGGGCCACTGCAGCCTCGTGCCAGGTGTCCGTAACAGAGGCATTTAAAGCATCTGTCCACTTCAACTCTGGCCCGGACTCTGCAGTTCACCCAGCCGATCTTAATACGACCGGTCTTAAGCAGCAATTCCGCGTCCAAGTCTGGCAGACGCAGAATCGCCATCTGCGTACCTCCATATCGTCGGACTAGTTGGCAGGGCACGTCCAACTCGGGCTTGCCCAGAAGACCCCGTACGGCCTCCAACACCTTTGCGACGACTACAGTCTCGTCGAGGTCTACAATTTCTATCGACCTCGTCGAGACGGCAGTCGCGACATCCGCTTTTCCTGTTAGGGCAGTGGTCAGCGCACTGCTGAAACTAGTGAGATCCTGTCCCTTCTTGAGTACCAGGAGGATCTCCTGCTTCCTGGATCTACGAACAGACAGGATCTCGACTTTATTTTCCTCAGGGCTGACCCTTTTAAACATGTAGTCTAAGATCTCCTCCGTTTCTCACCTTCTCTTGCGCTTATTTTTATCGCGTCTGTCTCCCTTTTCTTTTTCTTACGCGGGGATTTTTTTATTTCCCCTGTTGGGTCATCCCCAGTCTTTTTTTCTCCTTTTTTCTTTTTCTTCTTTTTGCCCTTCTTACTCTTCACCTCCTCCCAGGGCTCATCAACTTGAGTGGATGGTCCGGCCTCCTCAGCAGAAACTTCTACATTATTCGGCCGAGGAGACGCGGACACCTTTCCCTTTTTGGACTGCCTGTTCTTGGGCGTAGTTGAGGCCCCCCTCTTCTTACTTTCAGAAGTGGGAGTCCTACTAGGATTTTCCCCTAACCTTTTATTTTGTCGTCTTGCAACGAGCTGTGAGGGGTTGGACTATTATTATTATTATTATTATTATTATTATTATTATTATTATTATTATTATTATTATTATATTATTATTATTATTATTATTATTATTATTATTATTATTATTATTATTATTATTATTATTATTATTATTATTATTATTATTATTATTATATTATTATTATTATTATTATTATTATTATTATTATTATTATTATTATTATTATTATTATTATTATTATTATTATTATTATTATTATTATTATTATTATTATTATTATTATTATTATTATTATTATTATTATTATTATTATTATTATTATTATTATTATTATTATTATTATTATTATTATTATTATTATTATTATTATTATTATTATTATTATTATTATTATTATTTTTTTTTTTTTTTGCTTAGGGAATTTTGGGAAATCTGTTTACAGATACCTTGGATTCCGCACTCCAAGGTTATGTGGGGTTGGTAAAATAAAAAAAAAGGGAATTTAAAAAAAAAGGATAAATAAATAAATGTTATAATAAATTTAATAAACTGGCGACCTACTACCAGCCCGACCCACTAAAACCCATAACCCTTCTTTTGGAGCCCTTTACCCTCCCTCGGAACTGTCGTAAGACTTTAGCCTTCGAGGGAGGCGCTCCAACTCTATCGCTGCTGCGACTTTGTTCTGTGTCTGCGGTTCTCCTGCGTCAATAGTTAAAAAATTTAAAACTATTTCAATATAAAAGCGGAATTAACAGCACAACAACAATAAAAAACAAAAATTTTAAGAAGTTTAAAAAGTCAAAAGATAAAATTATAAACGGATATATAAAAAAAATAAAAATAAACGCGTATAAAATATTGAAAACATAAAATTGTACAAAGATGAATAAAAAAAACAAAACAAATTAAAAAAAATGTATAGGGACAAATAAATCACAAAATAAATTAATAAAAAACAAACAAACAAATTAAAAGCTGTTTAAATTACGCTTTTTGGCGGCCGTCGAGATCCTTCCTCGACATAACCGAGATTATGAAGTTCTCGACTTGCCGCCAATTCTCTTCCGACTGGGTCATCAGCGATACCATATTCTCCGGTGTAACTTGACTGTTTACACCTTCGAACATGGCCCGCCTCTCCAAGTTCCATTTTTTGCATGAGAAGAGGGTGTGCTCCGCGTTGTCCTCAGGGAACTGGCAATATGCACACACCTCGTCCTCGCGTAATTTAAAGCGACACAGGTACGAGTTAAAACACCCGTGACCTGTGAGCGCCTGAGTCAAATAATAGGAGACTTCTTCATGTTTTCGGTTTATCCAGGTGGTGAGTGTTGGAATCAGACGATAGGTCCATCTACCCTTTTCCTCCCTATCCCATCTGTCCTGCCATGTCTCGATAAGTCTGTTTCTCGCGTATTTGCGGATGTAGTCCTTGCTAGGTCTTTTCTCTTCTGGGTACTCGGGATTATTTCTTCTTTTAAAAAGAAGAAATACTTCCTCCCTTTCCCTTGCCATAAGATCTGCCGGCGGGACACTTGCAAGGACTTGCACAGCGCTCGTCGAGACCGTCTTATACGCAGAAACGATACGGGTAGTAACACATCTCTGCGCAGACAGCATATTATCGCAAATGGTTTTGCTTCTTGTTTTAAGTGAGGGAGCCCACGCTGCTGCTGCGTAAAACAGCTTAGCGTGGGCAACACTAACCACCAGTCTCCTTTTCCTTTCACGTGGTCCGCGAACGTTTGGCATAAGTCGTGCCAAGTCTGACGCACACTTTATCGCCTTATTCAAGGCCGTCGCTATATGGTAATGGAAGTTTAACCTTCCATCGAGCTCCACTCCTAAATACTTAATATGTTTACTCCACTTAACCTCGAATTCGTCTATCACGATTCGTGGGAAACTATAACCACGTCTGTCTGTGACGAGCAGAGCTTCGGTTTTTTCCAAGGCCATTTGAAGACCTCTGGCATCCAACCAGCTTTTAACTCGCCGCAGACATTCGTTCACCAATGTCCCAAGGGCTTCCTCGCTTTCGGCTGAGCACACGACCAACGCATCGTCCGCAAAGCCGATGATGACCGCGCCTTCAGGTAGACCCATTCGCAGGAAGTTATCATAGGATACATTCCACACGAATGGTCCCACCCTCGAGCCTTGGGGGGCACCACTTTGCATCTCTTCCTTCAGAGTCCAGTTGTCCCCCTCATAGATTACCCACCTGTCGCTAAGATAATCATTCATTATCCGCAACAAGTAGGGCGGTATTCTCTTCTCCATCATCGACTGGATGAGATCTTTCCATCGTGCGGAGTTAAACGCGTTACGTATGTCAATAGCCACCAATGCGCAGAAGCCCTTCTTCTTCTTTGGTCCCAATTTGTTTTTTCCCGCTTTGGCTATGTCCACAACTGCCTGAATGGCATCAACCGTGGACCTGCCTTTGCGGAAACCAAATTGGTAATCGGATAGACTATTCTCTCCGGTCAAATGGGTTTGCATTCTCTGCAGAACCATATCCTCTAGAAGTTTACCCATCGTATCTAACAGGCAAATAGGCCTGTACGACGAGACTTTATCCAGAGGTTTTTCGCCTTTTCTTAGGAGGACTAGCCTCTGCCGCTTCCAGTCGCGGAAGAACTCTCCTTTCTCAAGGCAAAGATTGAAACATCGGAGCAGAATCTGGGGTGAAGTGTCGATAACCAATTTTAGGATCTCGTTACTTATCCCATCGACTCCAGGCGCCTTGCCTGTTTTCAATCTTCTACCTGCATTTCTCAATTCTGTAAGAGTGAAGAGTTCCTCCTCACCGACTTCGCAGGTACTCCAGTCCTTCCTAACCCACGGTTCTGCAGGAGGAAATAGAGCTTTTATAATCCTTCTGACCCAATCGGGATTGTCCAGGCCGGGGGTCTTTTGCCTCGTTCCTAATTTCTTAGTAACGATTTTAAAAGCCAGACCCCATGGGTCCTTCTCGACATCATCAATTAGGTCTTTCCAGCAACGGCGTTGTGACGCTTGAATCTCTTTTTTCAGGCTTTTCTTGGCCTCCTTAATACTTCCTTTAGCAAAGGATCTCCCTTAGAACGGGTATAATTCCTTCTAGCTTTGAAGCACGCTTTCCGCAAGGAGGCCAGAGCATCCGACCACCAGTGCACCGAGCTTTTTCGTGAAGCGGTACACCTGCGACGCGGCATAGATGCATCGCAGGCAGCGGTGATGGTTTTCCTCACCGCTCGTACCTCTGCATCCAGGGTATTTGGCCTCTGCACCCAACCCAATTCCTCAATGAGGCGGGATTCTTCCAGGGATCGGACAAATTTCTCCTTATCGATTTTCTTCACATTCCAGGAGAGGCGTTTTCGACACGGTGCTTCCTGTCTTCCACCATTTCCTGTGTCTCCCACTGAGACTGAAAACTCGATGTACTGGTGGTCACTTGCGGTATACTCCTCAGAGACTCGCCATTCGTTAATGCGTCTGAATAGAGGAGATGATGCAATCGTAAGATCAATGATCGATCCAATTGCACCCCTCCTAAACGTCCATGTCCTTCCCCGGTTCACAATCGTTAAATTGCTCCTGGAGACCATTTCTCCGATCACTCTGCCTCTTTTATCGAGCCTTGACTCGCCCCACTCCGGCGACTTAGCATTAAAATCCCCGGTGACGAGTACATCCAGCTTGGATTCTCTAAGGCTCGACTCGAGTTCCTGAATGTCATCTTCGAAGTCCGTCAGTGCATCGTTTGGCGAGAAGTAGCAGCTGTACATACGTATGCCCGCAGCCTCTACCCAAACGAATCCACTGCTCGTCTCCAGATACCTTGCAACCCGCAGCTCAGGATTGCACACTTGAACAGCGGCCCTACCTGATTTATCCTGGTACCAGGGAGCGAGATCGTTTTTCCTGTGTTGCTCGCTGCAGAACAGGATGTCGATCCCTTTTTCCTTGACCGTCTGCATCAGGAGGGCCTGCGCCGTCCTGCAGGTGTGCAGGTTGACCTGCAGAAACTTTAAGGGTTTGCCTTTTTATGCCTCTGCAGCAATTCCCTGTAAACCGGACAAGAGCTTTTCCCGGATATATGGACAATATCTGTCTTTCCTAAATCTGTGCATGTTAAACACTTAGGTTGTTCGACGGAACAGTTCTTTGCCATGTGACCCTCACCGCCGCATCTCCGACAGTTTTTAGTTCTGTCGGGGCCTTTGCATGATCGGGTCACGTGTCCATATGTAAGGCACTTTAGGCACCTCACAACTTCCAGATGCTCTCGGACTCGGACGTTTAACCATCCTATTCTTACCTTGCCGATCTTCAGCAGAGTCTGACTATCAGTCTCTGCCAGGCGGACCAACGCAACCTTTGTGCCACTAAAACGTGGCAGAAGTCTGCACACTATGTCCGTGTCAGGCTTCCCCAATTTCTCCCTCAAAACCGAAACCACATCCTCCTCGGTCGTAGTTTCATCGAGGCCGTTCAATTCCAGACACCTCTTGTTTACAAGAGCCGTAACCTCGGCCCTATCATGCGAGGCCGAGGCCAGAGCCCTCGCAAATTTTAAGGTGTCACCTCCCTTTTTCACGACCAGGAGAACATCTTTATTAAGTGCCCTCCTGATCCAG